GATTCGGATGAGTGACGGGATGATCCGGGAGTTGGCTGATGTGAGGTTCGTTCCTCAACTGAGGAAGAACATCATTTCACTTGGGGTATTGGAGGCATCAGGCTATAGGGTGACTTTGGCGGATTCTTGCTTGAAGGTCACATCGGGGTCTATGATTGTGATGAAGGGAGTCAGGCGGAGTAACTTGTATTATATGCTTGGGAGCACGGTAGTTGATAGGGCGCTGACTACTTCTATGGCTAGACTGTGGCATTGTTTGGTGCTGGGATATATTATTGGTTATGCCGTACACAGATTGTTGAGGAGTGCTATGACCTGCAGATTGAAGTCCTGTGAGCAAATTGGGATGAGCGAGGAGACCGAGGTGGAATTCAGCACTTCTATCCACCGATCGAGGGGTCTTATTGGAGGTGTTCAGTCAGGCATTGGGGGGCCTTCCATGTATGCATCAGTGGGAGGTAATCGTTATTTTGTTTCCTATGTTGGGGATAGTACTAGGCATATTTGGGTTGCAACCAAGTCCCGTTGGTATAAAGCCCTAGTAGTCCGTAATAGTTGGAGGAGGTGTATGGGCAGAAAGGTTACCAGTCGTACTTGTTCTAGTAGGAGTCCTTTCTTGCATCGGTGCCGAGCTCATGGCAGTTGGAGACACTTCAGAGGAGAGGAGACAGTGTGGCGACTTGATGAGATGACGGATTTAGTGAGCCGTTCTTTTCTAGAGGAGGATCGGCATTGGTTGTCAAGCAGTGGATCTGGTATTCAGGCTTCGACAGGTTTGGGTCATCTTATGAGGTTGCCGACTGCTGCGTATAGAGTTGTTAGATCTGGTGGAGTTGCTTCAGTTTTTGGTTGGCGTCAGATATTTGGCTACTCAGCACTTGGTCACATCATTGATGTGAGATTGGATCCGATTGCGCATTTGGGATTCAGAGGCTCGTTCGGCTATCAGTGGGGAGCTTCTGAGTTTGGTCTGAGCAGGTTTGTCACTTTGGACTCTCGGCAGGTGGAGAGTATTGATCAGGTCAGAGGGATATCGCAGCGGGTGGAGGTTGATGCTACTCCACATTGGGTGGGGATTTCCCCACATACTCCAGGTCATTCTGCATTGGTTGGGATTCCAGCTGAGGTGGCACAGCATGAGAGTCATTTATTTATGGGTGCAGATGATGAGGTAGTTGATTTGGATGCAGCTGATGGATATGTTTTGGATACGGCCATTGTTACATCTCAGGTAGAGGTGTTGGATTGTTTTCAGATTGGGGTCGTTGATGATGCTATCAGCCGCAGGTTGGATTGAGGGCCTTTGGAGGCCCATAGGGTGAACTACGTGAAGGCTTGATTCCTTGGGCAAGAGGATACGTAGGCAGTCTTTATGATGCAGCCGATTTGGTGAGCGACATCGACATTTGGGGAGAGTGTTCGCACTCCCATTTGGGTCTCAGCAAGTGAGGCATTTGGTGTAGTCGGTGTAGGCTCAGTTGTTTGGTGAGTAGACACAGTTGGTTTGGGGTTGAGTGTTCGCACTCCCGTTTGGATCTCGACGTGTTGTGATTGGAGTCCGTTGTCACTTTGGGCTTGCTGCTGGATGGAGGGCGGTCGACCGACCCGGTCGACCGCGATGGATCGCGGTCGACCGTGCCGGTCGACCGCCGAAGCGGTTTTGGGCTGGGTCTGTTTTCCAGACCCGTTTCGTTTGGGTTTTCTATAAATACCCAAACTTGGTTTTAGGGTTTGTAAGCAAGGGGTTTTAGCAGCCATTGAGGGTGAGTTCTTGGGCTTCTATTGTTGGAGCAATTGGAGATGTTAAGAGTGAGTTGTTGAGGGTTTTGGTGAGAGATTGTAACCCTAGTTTGTTCCTCTTGATTTCTAATAGTGAAAACTCCCCCCTCCTTGCCCCGTAGACATAGGCATCTTGCCGAACCACGTAAAACTGGTGTTTGATTGTTTGTGCTATTGATTTTGGTTGTTGGTTTATCTTTTCTCGGCGATTGGTTTGGATTCTCGAGGCACAACAACTTTTGCATCGAACACCAGTCGATGACCAACAATTGCCATCAGATTGCGAGTAGCATGCACAAAAATCGGATTGCGAGTGGCATGCACAAACAGTTGTTGCATGAGTGTACATTTTGGTGCATAAAAAGGAAGCTCAACTCTTAAGACGCGTTACAATGTCAAATTATGATGTTCAATCCTCACCACAAATTTGAGGACAAAACATTCATCAGTTTCAAACACAAAAGGGGGGAATTGTTTTTCTGTTGTTTCTTATATCTTCTTTAAGTTATACTAAAGCAGGCTTCCACTTATAATATTTCATTCAAAATGGTGTCATGTTGACACTTTCTTATTTAGAATAACCAAATATCTTATCTTCTGGAGTTACCAAACACCTTATTTTCTTAGGGCCTGTTCGTTTGCCTTAAAAAAAAAATGGGAAATCAAAGAAATGGAAAATGAAGAATTGTTTTGGAGTGTTCGGTTGGCTAAAAAAAAAGGAAATCAAAGAAATGGAGATGAGATGAGATGAGTTGTCACATTATTATTGGATGATGTGAGTGATTTTTTAAGAAAACTAGTTTTGATGTTGTTCGGTTGGCGAAAAAAATAAGGAAATGAATTATAAGAAACCTATTTCCTGTAGTTTTCTTGTTTTCTTTTGTTCGGTTCATTCTTAAAAATAAGAAATGAAATGAGATGAGATGAGTTGTCATTGTATTATTGGTTGATGTGAAGAAAGATTAAGAAATGTGTTTTCACAACTTTTTGGGATGAAATGGAAGAAATGAAATGTTAATGAGATGAGGTGAATTGTTATAATATTCTATTCGATGATGTGAGTGATTTGAAATAATAAAAAGAGATGAGTTGAGTGATGTTTGGATGAAAATAATATTTTATTAGATGTGATGGATGAGTTGTTAGATGAAAATAATATTTTATTAGATGTGGTGGATGAGTGGTTAGATGAAAATAATATTTTATTAGATGATATGGATAAGTTGTTGGATGAAAATAATATTTTATTGGATGTTGTGGGTGAGTTTTAGGGATGGAAATGGAAGAAATGGGTTATTTTAAGATTTCCACTATTTCCATTTCCATTTCTTGCTTTTTTGAAAACAAACGAACAGGCCCTTAACAGAAAAGAAGAATCCCCCACCCCTAATGAGTAATGACATGACATTTCAGTGACCCAGTCGGCCAGTCCCAGTGTAATCCAAACGATCTCATCTCGAAATAATTGTATAATCACTTAATTTATAGTCTTCTTGAAATGCACTATTGAGACGTAGAGCTGAATTTGAATACTAACTAAATGGACAGTTAAAAGAAAAAGAAAATTAAATTTGTATTTTGTGCTGTTTTTATTAAAATAATAGTATTAGGTTATTAACAAAATAAGATAACTTATAAGAAAGGCATTATTATTTACTAATATTATTAATTTTTAATCAAACTAACTAATGTCCATTTTAATATATATACTACCTTTTTCTTATTATTACTTCAGTACACTTATTTTATAAAAAGTTTGTTCCTATCTTCTATAGGGTTAAGTGCACTTTAATAACTAACAACTTGAACTTTGATATCCTTAAAGTTTAAATTTGCTCAAAAAGCACCCAAAGTTTCATTAATTTGGACTTTAATATGTCCCTTTACATCACCTGTGAGAATTATGTTTAAATCACGCGACGCGATGACCACATAAAAATATTTAGACTTTTACTCCCGTCACCACCGTATTGACTTTGTTCCTCCTTTAACTATTTAACACCTAAGTCACTGAAATTAAAGTATTAATCCACTTGTTTACTGTGTGACTTAAATTTGACATTAGACTGCAACAAAGGCACCACTTGGGAAAAAATTATCCACAGACAAAAACAGAAGTATTAAAGTTAGAAGTGGTGAAAACTTGTGGGCATTTTTTCGGGTCAAGTTTAACTTCAGTGTATCAAAACTAGAAATCAATGAAACCTTAAGGTATTAAACTGAAATAAACCATATTACATTTGAAAATTTTAAATTTTATCATGTCTTATGTTCTAATTACTACTATGTTTCTATTATTGATTTTCACGTTATAATAAGCTTTTTATTCTCTCTTACAAGGATACTAGTTTAGCATTGGGCTTGGTCTAGAGCTTGGGCTGGGCTTGGTCCTTACTAAGTACGCGTCATTGAAAATATTGGGCCTACAGACTCCTTGCCCAACAATTTTAAACCCAACTACATAAAAATTATAATTTCGTCTTTTCCCCGTCTCTCCTCTTTTGCCCTAATAATACCGCGACGAGGACGACGACGATAAAAAAACCCTAGCTTTTACCTGGTAATCACACTTAGCAAAATCACTTCTTGTTTGAGTTTAACATAGTAGGATAAATTTTCAGCTAAGTTTAGATAGCAATTGCAAATGGACCCCCACCCCCCCCCCCCCCCCCCCCAACACTATGGATTCTCTGAATTGGGAGTCAGCGTTTTTGGGAACTTAAATCTTTTACTGGAGATTAGAAAGATGAAAGTTTTACAGATTGGGACCTAAATTTGGGCCCATGCTTTAAAATGTAGGGTATTTCAGATATAAACTCATGTTTGGGCTTCAGCTTGGACTCGGATTTCATTCAAACCAAATATATTTTACAACTAGCATCTGAAGCCCTAAAACCTTGGATTTCAAATTACAACCCTGGGTATTCCCTCAAATCCCGACGCCGATTCCTCGTCTCCCTCAAAATCGCGATCGGTCTCTCTCTCTTCCCCCGATTCCTCCTCTGTTAAAAAAAAAACACACACACTCTCTCTCCTCTCTCTCTCTCTCTCTCTCAAATCGCGATCGGTCTCTCTCTCTTCCCCCGATTCCTCTTCTCCCTCAAAATCGCGATCGGTCTCTCTCTCTTCCCCCGATTCCTCTTCTCTGTTAAAAAACTCTCTCTCTCTCTCTCTCTCTCTCTCTCTCTCTCTCTCTCTCTCTCTTTCCTCTTCTCTTCCCCCGATTCCTCTTCTCTGTTAAAAAACTCTCTCTCTCTCTCTCTCTCTCTCTCTCTCTCTCTCTCTCTCTCTCTTCTCGAGCCCTAATACCCCTCTCAAGAGTCCGCTGTTAACCCTAATCGGACTGTTCGATCTCTCGCTAGGGTTTACATCTCCTCTCTCCACTCTCTAGTCTGTGGTATGCATTAGGGTTTGGTGATCTTGATGGGCTTTTGACCAATTTCTTAGCAATTAATAATGCTTACTGCTAATGGTTGTGAATGATTGCAATTCCAGGAAAATTTTTGGGGAAATCCTCTTTGTTTGAGCAAAGGGAGCTTCTGTAGTCTCAAATCTCACAGGTATATAACAATATTTTATTTAATCATGATTTAGTTGATTGAGTGACCTTAATTATCTGCAAAATTTGGGATAAGATGGTGATGTCTTTAGATCATGTTTTATGGTTTGCTCATAGTTTGCTTTGTTTTTGGGTGGTTAAATTTTTTATTTATTTATCAATATCATGACAAAGCCTGCATTAATGATAGGCGGGCATTTATCATTGTGAAAGCAGTTAATATTTTCTAATAATTTTTGAAAGTTGAGGGCACTTGAAATGTTTTCACAAGTTAGGTTGTGGTTTATGAATTTTAGATCTTCTTTAGGTTGAAACTTCTAGTAATAAATATATATGTTGTTGACTAGCATGCATGTTGCAATGTGAACTTGGAAGTGTTCGGATGGCAAAGCTTAATTGTTGTCATTTTTCATTACCTTCAAGGTGCTACATAACTTTTGTCCCATGTTACACGGATAAGGGTGCAAGTGCGAACATACATATTAAAATTAATAATCTATATGAGATTGATATTGTTTTTTATTCACATGTTGTGAGAACTAAATACGTTATACCATTTTTATGTTTCTATTACTGAGCAGGTTATAAATTGAAAAACCGCTCATTTTTTTTTTTAACTAGATACCGAAACAACCCTTTAAAATCATATTTGTGAACTAGGCATGTGCTAAAAACAAACATGTCCCAAAACTAACAAGTTGCATAAATTTGAGGTTGAATGTATGATAAATTCAAGAAGTGTATCATGAGTTTTTAAACTAAAACATGTTATATAATGAGTACACGTCTAAGTAAATGTATTCAAGAATTGTCCAAGGAGTGTCGAACACAGACACAAATATGGGAAGTGTCGGACACGGATACGGCTTACCTAGCTTATGTCATATGAAGTGGTCTTAACTATTGCATTTGATATAAAGAAGAGGGGTTGAGAGAGCAAGTGGTTTTAAGTATTGCATTTGATTTAAAGAAGAGGGGGTGAGAGAGAAAGAGTATATTTTCTTTAAATATGTATTTCAGATACAAATTCATGTATAAGAGTATATTTTCTCTAAACATGCATTTCTAATCCAAATTCATGTATTATAAAGTGTATCCAAACACTAGATTTTAAATCAAAGATTTTAAATCCTTGAATTTAATTAAGAGATCCAAACAAGGGATTTACCAAAATTTGGAGTTCAAATCCTAGATTTCAAATCTACCTCCAAATCTCACCCAAATGCAACCTAAAGTAATTGGCAAGGTTTTAAATATCGGATATCGGGAAAATATCAGATGGTCAAAATTCATATCGGATTGCGGATATCGGGGAAATATCGGGGATATTTGGTAAATATCGGAATGTCATAATGAATGTTTGCATACATAGTATAATGCATTAAAATATAATCTCAACACATACATAGTATAATGCATTAAAATATAATCTCAACATATGTAATGAAATTTAAGCATACAAAATATGAATAATATATGTTTAGGATCACTAATCAACCTTCTAAAATAAACAAAAGTGCAAAACAACGTTGCAACATTCGATCAGCTTTTTTTAGGGCAAAATGTCATTTGATATAATAGGGAAATCTTGATATCTTGTCCAAAAATTCCAAACACGGTATATTATTTTGCAACAAGCTATATAAAAAGATATATTGGTCCACATATCGGCTAATATATCGGCCATATCGGGGATTTATCACTCAAAATAGCCAAAAAGCGGAAAAGGATATTTAAAGAGCTAATATATCGGCCATATCGGGGATTTATCACTCAAAATAGCCAAAAAGCGGAAAAGGATATTTAAAGACCATATCGGTTGCGGCAAGCCCTGTAAAAGGATATATCGGGGGATATATCAGGCCATGTTGGGGATATTTAAAACAATGGTAATTGGAAATTCATATGGAAACCTATTAATTGGAAGCAAAAATCTACAATCTCCAATGCACCTCAAAATGACAGGCCCAGCTTTCCTCATAGCCAAATAAAGTAAGTATATTAAGTTGGACTTTTGTGGCACATATATTATTATTCTATAAATCTCCACATTTTGTTTGTTTATCCTTCTAAAGTACTAATTGCATGCACACCCATCGAAACCTATTAAATCTCTGACTAAACCCAAATCATTAATTAAATCTACATAAAGTCATTTTTTGTTATTAGATATGTTAGATTAATATTTATAACTTTATAGTAATGATAATTAATGTGATATTTTGATGGTGCTTTACATAATGTAAGGATTAGAATTTTAATCATTATGTAAAGTCTAGGGGCACGTGACCATTATGCAAACTTTTCTGAATTTGATCTATAATATGATAATAATGACGCCGAAAGGGTCATAACAAAGTGAGTTAAGGAAATTATAACCGAAATCGTCATAACAAAGTGAGTTAAGGAAATTATAACCGAAATCGTCATAACAAAGTGAGTTAAGGAAATTATAACCGAAATCGTCATAACAAAGTGAGTTAAGGAAATTATAACCGAAATCGTCATAACAAAGTGAGTTAAGGAAATTATAACCGAAATCTTTCTTCTATTAATCTAGGATTCTAGCTAACCATACTTCTTAAATTTAAATTTCTTATATTTAGTGAAAAGGAAATAGGGTGAGCCCGGGTTTAACTAATGGATATTTATGCATCTAATGCATAATATAGGCAGTGTTGAAAAAAGCCCCGCTTTTGATGCTTATGTGCTTCGCAAGGTGGAAGCGGTGCCTCACTGCTCCGCTTTCATTAAAAGCGGCCAATCAAAGTGGGCGTGGTGCATTCTGCTCGAAAACGTGATAGAAAGCTCGTAAAAGCATTGTGAAGCGCTTAAAAACACTAAAAAGTGCTTAACAACGCTTTGAAAAAGTAAAATACGAGTTTATATTATACCCTAGGGTAAAACCCGATCCTGGCCCATTCTCTTAAGCAGAAATCTCTACTTCTCATCCCAGTCTCCGCTTCTGTGACTCGAGATGAAAACAAATCCTAACCCTGACTCTCGCTACAGCCACCTAATCCATTGCCTTCAGCCAACTCTGCTCCCGCCACATAATCCGCCCCCAAATTCTTCTCCAACAAGCTCCATCTTCACCATCACAACGTCAACGTCACCTTCTCTTGAGCTCCTCATTAAAGCTTACCATCACCAACCAAAGCTTACTATCAACATCACCATTTCCTGTCAAAGCTCCTCCGCCTCCTTGTCTAGTCGAAGCCACTTACTTCTCGCAATCCTCTCCTCTATATTTATACATATATAAATTGGATCGCTTTTTTTACTTAACACTTTTTGCCCTTTTTTGCTGTTAAAACCAGAAAAAGCCTGCGCGGTGCCTCACCGCTTCCCTCCGTTTTCCGCTTTTCACAACCTTGAGTATAGGTATAAATTTAATATTTCTTTAAAGGTATGGATGCAGTTAGTACTTCATGAAGGATTAATAAGAAAAATGCTAATTTCATTGGGCATATATTTGAAAAAAAAAACCTAGTAAATCTTTTAGGAACCACCCCCATACCCCGCTTACTCTTCCTTTGTTTTGAAAAATTTCATAACGGTTTGATTCAGTTTTTCTATCAGTATTTATTTCTTGACGTGATTAATACTCATGCCAGAGATAGGAGTCTCGTGCTTTATCTCATGTTATTGTCGACTGTAAATTGCCCATCTTGACTATATATTAAGTTTCATAACATGTAGTAAATCAAGCTGGTATCTATTTCCTTGAGCCTCTTGTTTCTTTTCAACAACCATACTTCAACTCCAACAAGTCCTTTCCAGCTGACATCTGCTCATGATAACAGATTCTCTAGCAACACCTATTAAGCAGTGTCAGCCAGTCTGGCTGCTTCATTGATCACAGTGGAATTATAATGCTTCAAGCATGAGTTTGGCAGCAGAATCTCCCGTGCATTCATCAAGCAGCAGCGACGATTTCGCTGCATTTCTTGATGCAGAGTTGGACGTAGCTTCTTCTGACACTTCTCCTGATGAGGATCAGGATGATGAAGAAAATGATGATGATGAAGAAGACTTTCAAGAGCCGAGTGCTAAAAGGCAAAAGGTGGAAGATTTAGAACCTACAAAAGAGCTTGAAGGCTCAAATGTAAACACTTCATCAGAACCTATGGATGAGGATATATGCCCTCCACATCCTGGTTTTATTAAAGGTATGTGCATGAGATGTGGACAGATCGAAGAGGATGAATCTGGGGTAGCCTTTGGTTACATTCATAAGGATTTGAGGCTGAACAGTAAGGAAATTGATAGACTGCGTGGAGTTGATCTGAAGAACTTACTGGAAGCAAAAAAGTTGATATTGATCTTAGATTTGGATCACACTGTACTCAATTCAGCAAGACTTGTAGAAATCTCTGCTGAAGAAGAATATTTGAGACATCAGGCTCTATCCATGCAAGCCGATGCAGATAGAAGCATATTTGAATTGCCTGGTATGCATCTATTAACAAAGCTGAGGCCGTTCGTCCGTACTTTTTTAGAAGAAGCAACTAAAATGTTCGAAATTTATATATACACTATGGCTGACCGCGCTTACGCGCTAGAAATAGCCAAGATCCTGGATCCTGATAAAGTTTACTTCGACAATAGGATAATTTCAAATGCTGATTGTACTAAAAGACATCAGAAAGGCCTTGATGTAGTTTTAGGAGCAGAAAGCCTTGTACTTATTATGGATGACACAGAGATCGTGTGGCAGAGGCATAAAGAAAATCTAATTCTGATGGAAAGATATCATTTCTTTGCATCAAGCCGTCGCCAATTTGGTTTTAGTACCAAATCATTATCAGAAACGAAGAAAGATGAAAGTGAATCAGATGGCATACTTTCTATCGTTCTCAACGTTCTCAAGCGTGCTCATCAAATGTTTTTTGATGCATTTCTCGAAAAGAAGCTCTCAGCTAAAGATATAACAGAGTTATCATCAAGAGACGTAAGGAAAGTGCTTAAACTTATAAGACAGGAGATATTGCAAGGATGTAAGATTGTTTTCAGCCGTGTTTTTCCATCAAGTGCACGTGCTGAGGATCAGCCAATATGGAAATTGGCTCAACAACTGGGGGCTATTTGCTCGACTGAGGTGGATGCATCGGTTACTCATGTAGTTTCTACTGATAAGACTACAGAAAAGGCTCGCTGGGCTTTGCAGAATGGGAAGTTTTTAGTGAATGTGCATTGGATTGAAGCCGCAAATTTCTTATGGAGTCGACAAAGGGAGGAGGATTTTCAAATTACCAGCTCTCCAAAGAATCCGCCGGATTGATACAATATCAATCCTTGTTGGTTGGGTAATTTCTACGTTCTACTTCTCTAGCTGCTGTGTTAGCTCAGCTTAGTAGCTATAATCAACTTTTTAGAAGTTGCGACTTTATTTTGTAAATCTTGAAATAAACTATTGTGTTGTTGTTAGATAGATTGGAAAGCCAATCCATATCAATTTTATCCCCAGGATTTTGATAGTTGAGCTATTATTCTGTTCCTGTGGATTTGCATACGTACACATTGTAAATTTGTTGTCTAGATGGTATTTTTAACATTTTCTTGGTAATGCTCAGTTTGATTATTGCTACAATTTATGTAATTGCTTTCATAGAACTGTTTATATTTTGCTTTCATAGAACTGTTTTACATTTGGATTTCATAGTGTTAGAATTTGAAACAACATCCCTCATCTCTCACCACTACTTTGAAGTTTAGTGTAATTTTGGATATTTTGACATCTAGTCTAGGTTTTGGCCCATAAAAAAGATGTTCAACCTGTAAGACGATGTCAGAATAATCTTCAACTCTCATCACAATTTTAAAATTTAGGCATAATGGTTAGGGAAACTTTCACACATGTTACCGCTTTATTGTTCAAACTTTCAGAGTTTGTTAAACTTTCACATCTTTCAGAGAAATTGTATCAAAAGAAAGAAGTATGCGGATCATATAGTCCAAAGGGGAAGAACGCATGCATGAGTATTTTCGTCTTGCATTGTGATCCGCGGCTAAACAGCACATGAACCCAATAAATAAAGTTTAAGTAAGAGCGCATGGTAACTTGTTGGTTAAATTTTTTTTTTTTTAATCGGCATAGAAACTTGCAAGGGTAAAAACTAAAAAGTAAAAACCAAGAAGAGAGGCGTTTTCACACATCTTGAGTGACATCATCTTGAATTTGCTGAACAACTAAAGGTTGATATTAACAAGTTATTGGTTGTCACCCACATCCAAATTTGTAGCCCAGCAAGTCTTCTTATGGAAAAGGCAAACGCACCAAAGCCCACCTTTTTCATTATTTGTCTCGACATGAAATTTAATTTAATACGCAGCACTTTCACTCCACAAGCGCCAATTCGGAGTTAATTGATAATTCCACCTACTAATATAGCTCCTTATTTTCAACAACTACGTGGATTATTGATTAGCATGCGCTCTTATTATAATTGAGCTACGACTCATCTTTCATTGGTAATTGCATTCTCATTATTACTCTAAAGACTAGCCTGGAGTATATGAAATTTTCCATCATCTATGGTCAATGTCTACTACCCAGCCTCTTTTTAATTACAATTATTTATTTATTTATTTATAACTAGCTACGCACAGCCAGATTATAAATATTTTCTTTTTGAAAGAACTCATGTTTACGAATTAAAGTATAGTCAGGGCTATAATTTTAGGTCAACCGAAACAGTGATCCTTGTACAAGGACTATGCATATATTATGAGGGGTGAAAAAGTACGTAAAACATACAAGAAGGTGGGGATAATAATTCATCAACTGTACAATTGTCTTTCGAGTAATTCAATAGTAACGATTAAAAAGCTAAAGTAATTTAAGTAAAATTGCTTGAATCATAATAAAAGATGAAACATTACCTTAACATTCCCTCACCTTCAGAAAACACAGAACTAAACTATACACATTAACACCCCCATATGCACCTCCAACTTAATATCCATACTATAACCACAAAAAAAATAAAAAAAAAACCCCAAAACAAAGTGATTAATCCTAAAAACAACCCAACGAAAAAAAAAAAGCAAAATTAATCCCATTACATCTCTCTAGACTCTAAGCAAGTAGATGCTGAGCTCAGGCCCAGAATTGCCATCAGGATTCAACATGTAGAACGCCTCCGAATCCTTCGACCCGACAACCCTCTCAAACCTCGCCCTCATATACATCATCTCCGCCCTCATCGCCGCGCCGTCGCATCGCCGCGCAAAACCCAGCCCCCATCGTCACCGGCTCCACCGCCTTCAACCCTAAAAAATCCTCCTCCCCACAGCTCTCTCCTCACCGCATACCGCACTTTCCATACAGTAAGCCGCTCCACAGCTGTCTCTCTCTAGCAGCTTCCGCCTCTTCGACTTCCCGCCGCCGCTCCGCCGGCGTAGCCGCCTCGACGCTCGCACTCGAGCGCGATCCTGACGAGCCGCGACGCCATCTCTTTGACGAGGGTGCTCGTGGCATCGCGAGCTCGATTAGGACTGCAGGGTTCGATTTCGAGTCGAGCTGGAACGCGAAGTGGTGTGGCCTCGGCGGTGGGCGAAGAGGGTTCCGGCGACCTTCGTAGGGCCGGCTTCTCCGGCGATCGCCCGCCGGGGAGAGGCGATCTGAACTTGGTCGACGGCCGATATCTTCTTTGGGTCGGAACGCATTCTGGTCGGCGCGGCCGGCGGCGGCGGCAGGAGAGAGGAGAAAGGTGAGGGTTTCCTCGTCGGCGTCGGTGCCGTAGTCGCGGTGAACTTCCGACGTCTGATGAAGTGGCGCCTTGAGAAGGAGAAGGATGAGTCGTGAGGGGATTTGGCCATGATGGTCCTCATGATGATGAGAAAGCGAAAGAGACAAAGGTGAAGATTTGAGGGAATTATTTTTGGTGGTGGATGCTTTTGTGCAATGAGAGGAGGTGGCCTTCTCTACCCCTCTTTTTATTCTGTGGGATTTTGTCCTTTTTCTGTCAGTGAGTGCTGCTGTTGTGTCTCCTCTGGTTTGTTTTTCGGGTGGCAAAGGAGTTTTCTTGAGGTCTGATGTTTAATTAGGGAGGTGACCTGACCCACCTACCCAATCTAAGTAAAACTGGACTATTGAACAGAACATGTTCTCTCATAAAGTCATAATAGAAAGGGAAAATTATGTTTGAGCCCTTTACTTTTTTTATTAAAAAAAAACTTTTCCTCTCTTATATTTTGTTTCTTTAGAATTCTACATTCAATTATTCAGAATTTTATATAATTTTAAAATCTAGAATTTCTGAAAACATATAGTGGTTCGTGTTCACTAGATAGCCGCTGAATTACAATTAGTCATGAGTTAGCATACTGGTACCGAGATATATCTTTTTGTGTTGATTCAAGAGTCAATAGTTACACAGATCATATAAGATATATATATATATATATATATATATATATATATATAAGGATGTAAAGAAAACAAATAAAACTAAGAAGTTTAAAGACCACGTGAGACAAAATTATTAATGTTATGGAGTCAACACTCGCCGAAATACAATTCATTGATAAGTGGCGGACGGATGTATTTCTACTATCAATGCCCCAAATTGACTTAGTAGCCCAAGCCCATGAGAGTTCGACTTAGCTGACTGGTCGAGTCGATATTCCTTCAGGTCGACTCGAAAAGCGGTATCAGTCGACCCTCTTGTCGAAGACGGCTCACCAGAAGTCCCCTCGACCATTCGACTAACGTCACACGAGGACGACTCGAAAGACGTTGCTTCTCGGCAAAGTTGGAGGATAACTTCTACTTCAAAGCTTATCCATGCTGACGACATGTTCACGTTGCGTTTAATGTTTGGCAGGCATCATCATGCATCTGGCCCCAACCGTCTTTATGACTCATCGGAGCACGTGGGCCACCGTCATACTCCCTCTCACTTCTCATTTAATGCTGATGAAATCCTCCCTCCAGTCTCCAACCGACACCTATAAACCAGAGGCTGACTCAGCTGCCAGCCTGCACTTCGTCATCGCCCTTCTATGCTCAACCGAAGTGACTAATCTACCCCTAAATACTGATATTATTCTAAAATTAAGGAGGGACGCAACTCTAATCTTTTTACTCATACACTGCACAATTATAAGAACACGCAGTTCTTTCTTGACCAAATTCAAGTTCATCAACTAACTTGATCGTTGGAGGTACAACGGCGGAACCAATCACCGCCCTCTCATGAATTTCTACTTGTGCAAATTCCTCAGACACACAACTCAAGAAACAGACATAAAGTCAGAGAAAAAAGCGACCCCTCCTAAACACTGAACAAACCGATCCTATCTTGGATCCAACTAACTGTGTGATCATATAAACCATCAACAGTTTGGCGCCCACCATGGGGCTATCTTTTCTTTTTTGAGAAAACATGTCAGGTTCTGAGCAAGGGCCTGATCAGTCCAGTCCTGAAGAATAATATCAGAGCTACGTTACTCGAGCCCAGCTCGAGGAAACCGCTCACAAACTTTCTCAGTCTATCCAAGAGCAGTTCGCTACTTTTACTCGCGAACTCCTTGGTCGGTTTCTGCCCCTCAGGAGACCAACGGTCAGAGGCTCACCCTTCTGGAGCATAGCAGGTGCTCCCTCTTCGGACTCCTCATGTTGTTAAGCAGATGGGGGATCGCATCAAGCACGCGTCCATGCCCCTTCGTCGGACGACTCGTGTTGACGAGCCTCACTAAAACCACCATCGTCATCAAGAGACCTCTGGCGAGAGTCCTTATCTTGGTCACTTTGGGGACCATCCTAGGGGAGTGACCTCTAAGTCTCTCCTCTATCATCATGCATACCCAGTTCCATCAGCCACTATCGGAGCCTCGGGAATCAACCGAGTGTATCGACCGATTGTCGATGCCATCGGGGGTAATACTGTGACGCCTCTGGGTTCACACAAGACTGCAGTCCAAGGTAAAACCAGAGATGTCAAACCTGCCATACACCCACACTGTGCATAAACATGTTTTACCAATCACAGTAATATCCTCTAGTAGAACCAAATAGAAGTGCATGTATAAACAGAAAAAATAAAGGGAATAAATATAATAGACATGATATAGAAGAGATATCTCATAAATGAAAAGAATCATGTCATAAATATAATAGACATGATATAGAAGAGATATCTCATAAATGAAAAGAATCATGTCTCAACTATAATATATCTGATATCTGAATAATGAAAATATCTCAACATGAATCAACTAAAAATCGTACTAAGGCACACTGTCTTTACAATATGAATATGAAACTCTAATGTCTGGATAAAACTCAAAACTATAGTGGAGTCTCTACAAGTAAAAATACGCGACGACGACTATACCAGAACTCCGTCACCCTGCGGCTCTCCGAAACTCCGAACTACCTGAAAAGTAATTTAAAAAAAAAAGAACAACAACAAGAGCGTCAGAGCGCTACAGCAAGATTACCTTCATCCGCCCCCAGGGGAAGGGCTACTAGATGGAGTGAAGCCTCTATCTATTAAGCATAGTCTATCTAGATTCATTGTTCCTGTATCTAAGTAGGATTAACATTTAGAAACCTACAAC